AGGCTCCTTTCTCGCTTAGATTTTGTCCCACAAACCTTTACAAATTGCAAATGGGCTTTCTGTCATTCTTCTGGAGCCTGGTGTCAGTCCATCTGAGCACATTGGTGCTCAAGTCACTTTTAGGCCCCACCCCAAAATTTGATCTATCACAATACATCTTTGAGTTATTGCAGCTCGAGCGTTTTGACACGATACATTATGGTAATCCATGGCACATAGAGACATTAACACTCCCGACTTTGACAAAATACATTGTGAAGTCTTTGAAGGCACCATTACAATTTATCTTGTCATTCAGAAGGAGACCCAGTTCAGCATTAATGTAGATGAACACAGTGTGGCTTTTGTTTCATTTAATTGCTTGTGACCTTTTTAATTGCTCATTTAACAAAATACCAAAGGGTTATGTTTCAATTAAATTAACAGTTTGGGAGTGGGTTTTTTTTTTTTTTCTGATATTTTTATTTCTAAAACATTCTGGTTCTCTCTTTTTTTACCTTAAATAGATAAAAATGTCTTCTCTAACAGAAGTGGGTTTTTAAATGTGAAGTTGATATACAGTAATAATTTTAACACACAAATGGTATTGTGCCTACGTATGGTTGGGTTCACTCCTTTCTGGAAGGATACAAACAGTAAAGGTATACATGCAAAGTCTTTGAACTTTTCTAGTCCAAAACATGCTTTTGGTACACTACTCTGCTTCAGATGTTTTTTATATATAAAGTGTTGTGTGTACCGCTTCTGCCTCGTACTATTTTCTTTGTGTTCCTAATACCAAATCTGTAAGCTTCTGAAGATCAGGAACCCTGCCTTATCGTCACCAGCGTGCCTGCATAGTCTAGCATCCCACTGGCATGGGGAGAGTAGTTGCAGGTTATATGGCTGACTGATCTATACGTGTACACGTGCCCCCTCCAAGCAGTGGCACTCCTGAGCCTACTTTGAAAAATGGCTGTGTAACTCCGAGACCAGAAGTTCAGCAGATGACCTGCTTGGGGGTGGGCAGCACGTACTGGAGGCGAACACAGGAGTATTCGTTCACTCCCTACTCCCCCAGGTGTTGTTGCTCTTCTAATGCAAACACAGCCCTTGTCATCTGGGGCAAGGCTCAGGACTTACCCAAGTATCAGGGGGGCTTAAATCCCCAAATGGGATATGAATTTACACTGTTGGAGAGTAGAAGGTCAATGCAAGAAGCATTAGCGTGTTGAGCCAGCTCTAGCTATATAAGTCTTGAACAAAATTAATATAAGGAAATTGATAAGCCTTGCTGGTTATTCCATAGCTGTAAGACCTCTACTAAAATCCTATCATCTCATCTGCCCATTATTAACATTTCAGCAAAATATAAAGTTTTCATTAATCTCCCATAGCAAATTTAGGAGTGAAAACTGGCACTTGTTTGAGCTTTTAGGACTACATTAGCTGGTGTATTAAACAAAATATGTCATTCTTCAGTAGCTTCTGTAAGAAGCTAAATCAATTTCCAGCCATATTTATGCACCACTTTATCTAAAAGCATCTGAATTATCATTTACAGCTAAGATGCTTTATTAGCAGCTGGCATTGAAATTGCTCAGTAAAAAATTATATGTCACGTTATAGTAATTTTTAAATTGGTTTTAATCCAACATCATAAAACGTAAAACTCTTAAGTGTGGGGTGGTTTTTTTTTTTTTTTTAGTAATTGGCATTTTAGCATAATGAGCTGTTACCCCTTTCCAAATCAAATACCTGCAATATTTAGAAAATACTAATTAGTAAAGAAAACAGAAGTTCTTGAGGTGAGTTGTATCTAATAATGGTGTTTTCTCAGATAAGATGGTTTTAACTGATTTTTAAAATATGAAAGGATTTTAATACCTCACCAAAATTCTCCACAGTTCTCCAATTTAAAAGGTTCTGAAAATAGAAATAAACATCTTTGCAGTTCTGTTTCAGTAAAGTGTGTGTTGGGGAAAGTGAATGATTATTTGAAACTCTGGAAACTCTAGCCAGCCTCTTGGTTTAAGAGATGGACATTACCCAGAAGATAGAAGTGCTTGCGACCATGACGCCTCTGTCCAAAATTACAGGTGTCCAAAGAAAGGTAGCAAGGTTACCTAATGTCCCTTAGAGGTGTTGAGTGTAACTCTTCTGATCCTAGCGATATGATGTTCGTTAAGTCACTGAGCCTCTCTGATCTACACCTTCCTGTGGACACGGCAGCTCATACTCATCCAGTAAATTTTCATCAAGCACTTGCTTTATTCTGGGCATGGTAGCACTAGCAGAGTCTAGGCTATAATGGTGAGTAAAACAGTCACTCTGCCTGCCCTCTTGGGGCAGAGACAGATAGTAATCAGCTGTGAACAGCATTCTGCAGGAAAATGCTGGGTGCAGTGGTAAAAGGAGCTGTGCTAGACTTGGGGGCCCAGGGTCAGGGAAGCTTTCCCTGGAGTGTCACTTGATCTAAGCTCTTCAGGAAGAACAGGGAGGAGACTTGGAGATACAGGTCAGGAGAGAGTGAAGTGGGGAGAAGGGTGACCTGGGCAGGAGGACAATATGCACAAATACTCAAAAATGGGACCGTATCACAGGCCCAGTGAATGACCATGCCATTCAGTGGATGGCATCGAGTGAATGACCCAGTGTAGGTGAGGCTGCGTCTTCATTGTGAGGAGAACATTATTGTAGGGGCTGGAGTTATTCTAGCTGGGAGTAATTATAGGGTTTGGAAACCAAATTCACAGTTCCTAATAAATGAGTTCAATGTAAAGTCATGAGAAACTAACTTTGACTTTAAAGCTTACCCTGTAAGCAGTAACTATGGAGAGGAAAAACGTGTAATTGTCAGACTGACATTTATATAACAGAATTTTCCTGTTTTATACCCAAATCTAGAGTTTTCCATTCCTCCAGCTCTGTCCCAAGGAGTTCTCTCTGGATTTCCCTGTGGGCCATCTCTGGGTGTGCCACACAAGGCTTAGGGCACCTGCTCTGGTTGGCCTCTGCTGTACAGGTGCTCCCATCCCACAGGTGCTCCCGTCCCAGCAGCTGCACCTTCAGAAGACCACATTTTAAACTCTGGGGGACAGGAGATAATTTAGCTTTGCTTAGTGTGGCCCTGGGCACATGACTTTACTTCTCAAAGCCTCAGATTCCTCGTCTATGTAATACAGAAAAATGCTTAAGTTCACGTATAAAGCCCTTAGCACCATGCCTGATGTATAGTAAGCACTCATACATACTGGTTCTTTTCTTTTTTTTTTAATTTTATTTATTTATTTGACAGACAGAGATCACAAGCAGGCAGAGAGGCAGGCAGAGAGAGAGGGGGAAGCAGGCTCCCCGCTGAGCAGTGAGCCCGATGCAGGGCTCGATCCCAGGATCATGACTTGAGCTGAAGGCAGAGGTTTAACCCACTGAGCCGCCCAGGCGCCCCCACATTGGTTCCTATTTTATTTTATTTTAATTTAGCAAAATTTAACAAGAGCATACCAGCTGCCTGTACTGCTTGCAGAGATACAGAGATGAATGAGAAACTTTACTGTCAAAACGCTTCCAAATTAGGGGCGCCTGGGTGGCTCAGTGGGTTAAAGCCTCTGCCTTCAACTCAGATCATGATTCCAGGGTTCTGGGATCGAGCCCCACATCGGGCTCTCTGCTCGGCAGGGAGCCTGCCTCCTCCTCTCTCTCTGCCTGCCTTTCTGCCTACTTGTGATCTCTGTCTGTCAAATAAATTTTAAAAAATCTTAAAAAAAAAAAACAAACTTCCAAATTAGGCTAGAACAACCACTCAACAATTTAAGTGCAAGGCTGAATGTATGTGTTCCTCTGTGACAGAATAAACATAATCATGACTGCTCTTTTATTAAGTGTATTATGTGTTACAGTCTTCAAATACATTTTGGCATTCTGTGCATGGTAAAAACTGGGGTTCAGAGAGAGAAAGTCACTTGCCCGATATCATATAGCAAGTTAGAGGCAGAGCTAGAAATTGAACCCCACGTCTGCCTGGCTCCAGGGTCCAGTATAAACCAGCTGCTTTGGAATTCAGAAGGAGGCGGAGTTGGAGCTGCCCTGGGTGGAGTTTTGGCAAGTACAGGTTAAGGTTGGAAGGGACGTTCTAGGCTACCACATGAGGAAAGGCCCAGAAATAGAAAAACCTGGACTTGTGTGCCGTCTGAGGAGTTTGGGAGGTACTGCAAGAAGGTGTGGATGAGAAATGACAAAGTAAAATTGAAAAATTATGTCTCAGCCAGATTATGAGCAGCCTTCATTGCTTGGCTGGAGACGGTGCCCCATCCAGGAGGCCATGCGAAGCCAGGGAGGATTTTCGAGCACCAGCCTTCTTATTTGTCCCCAGTATCATGTATCAGAGTACTGACCGTGCACAAAGCTCTCCCTAGACTTCGAGCAAGTGAATAAATGATCAAAGCTTCAGAAAGCTGTATGAATCCGAAAGTCCTGTGGTGGCTGGATTGCACAGAGTGCCTGGTGCCCAGAAGGCCAGTGAGGAGACGGTTAAAAGCAGGAGCAGACTCGTGCCCCCACCCGTGGAGACTGTGGGGCACAAGACGGGAAACCAATGAACAGTTTGAGAATCTTGGAAAGCACAAGAATTCTTCCAAGAGCTTGGATTACCTTTATGATTGGAAAAATTATTATGAGGAAAAGAAACAAGAAGTGTGACCGCCCATGCTTTTGTGCTTTGAACTTACTCTCGTGGAGATGGAGAGCTTCTGGCAAGCAGCAGTCTTTCTATCCTTGCGTATCCCTGCTGCCCAGCCAAGGGCCTGCCATAGAATAGGCAGTGTTTGTGGAATTAATTGTTGAATGATGAATATGCTACCATTCTCTGTTTACTGGAATGGCATTATTAAGTCATCGCTCAGCCTTTTCTTCTCGAAATTAAATAGCCCATATTATTTTAATTTATCCCAAAGCATTTTAAGCAGACACCATTTGCCAAGCCTCATGTATCTTTATGTGTTAAAGTGTTTTTTCCTCCCCAGGTTCAAGGGCAGACGGAGTTTTTGAGGAAGATTCACAAATTGACATAGCTACAGTACAGGATATGCTTAGCAGCCACCATTACAAGTCGTTCAAAGTCAGCATGATCCACAGACTACGATTCACAACCGATGTCCAGTTAGGTAAGTGCATGAACCGATGAGGGACTGGGCCCTTTGTATCCATGGTCAGCATAGAAACGGGAAAAGAAACAAGATCTGGCTTTTATGTGACCGGAATGACTAATGGTAATTTGTTTTCAGAGAAAAATGTTTAAACAGTGAAATGTAAAGTACCTCCTTTTCCCCCACCTGAGTGCTCTGTCTTGTCTTCTTTTTTATGAAGCAGATTAGAAATAGAGCTAACTTGAGACTCTTTTCAAACTGATTGACTTCTGTGAAGTCCCATAATTCTTACCATTCTATAATTCTCTTACATGCTATCCTTAGAACTGCTCTGTAGCTTTGCTACTTGCCTTTTTTTGCTCAGGTGAATTCATTGCTTATTCATTCATGCCTTTATTCAGGAAGCTTTTTAATGATCTTAGAAGTTATATTTAGATCTTCAGCAAATAATCCAGAATTAACTTTCAATTAATATTTGGATTAATTTGTTCCAATTAAGTGCTAAATTTCTGTTTTGACTGACACATAACGGGAGTAGAAAAAGCGTCACAGTAGTCAGTACTACAGCATCATCATGGTCACGGCTGTCATTTATAGGTACGTCTGTGTATAAGGCACCGTGCTAAGTGCTTCACATAACACTACTGAGCTACCGCAAGGTAGGTATTTGTACCTTCGCCATCTAGCAAAGAAGGTAAATGAGGTGCCAGAGAGGTAATGTCTGATGCCTGAGCTCACACAGCAGGGAGGTGGTGGTGTCGGGAGCAGAATGCTGGTCTGGCCGACTTAAGTGCACTTGCTGCTTACGAAAGGACACTGGGAGGAGTGGGGAGCAGGCATGGATGCCAGGCTTAGTCAGGGAGCTGACCTGTACCCTGGCTCTGCCACCGGCCTCTGCCACACCACCCTTTCCTAGGCCGCCTCTGCCTGTGTGTGAAGGGAGGACGTTTGCACTCCAGCTCTGAGACCCGCTGATGATAGGTTTCTCACAAATGCTCTCTATGTGTCTCATAATAAAGGCTTTTACAGTGTTGGTGTTAGTGTGGCTAGTTTGTAATAAGCCTCAGAAATCTCTGCAAATTTAAAAAAAAAAAAAAAAAACCAAAAAAAAAAAACCTCTACAAATATTCCTCCCCAGCCTGACTGCCTGGAGCTTGACGCACGCTGACAGGAGAGCTGAGTAAGTCAGACGGGGCACCAGACTCGCAGCAGCTCTGAATCGTGGCTCTGCCGGTAGCTAGCCAAGCGACTTCAGCTCGCCAAGCCTCGATTCCATTGTGTCTACACAGGAGTATCTGTAGCACCAACTTCTTCAGATTGCCTAGGGGAGCAAGTCAGATGGGCCACGTGAAGCACTCAGCACAGGGCTGGCAGCTGGCAGACTTTCTGGAAATGGGAGCCATTAGTGGAACATGCAGTGGACAGACTGTGGAGCCAGAAGCTGGGGTTTAAACCCCGGCTCCTTTATTAGCTGCATCGCCACAAGCCGATGGTTCAGAGCCTCACGTTCCTCATTGGTAAACTGAAGACAATAGTCCCTGTCTCACAGATGTGGTACTTATGGGAACGAAGTGTCCTCACACATGCAGAGTACTTAGGAAGGTACCTGGCCCGTAGCAAGGCCTCCGAAAACACCAGGTGCTAGGATGAAGGTGATCCTAACAGACTAACCGGATGAGTTAGCACCCAGGAACTTTGAACCAAAACCACAGAACCCACCTTCTTTCTCCTTTCTGAACCTGTTTCAGCCTCCTCACAAAAACAAATAAAATGCTAACTATCTAAATGGTTAAAAAAAAAATACTTATTTATAATGTTGACTCTTAAAACATAAAAATCTTTAGTGTCTTTCTTCCTGGGGCTGCTTTTCCTGGTTCTTCTCATAGAAATAAAAATAATGAGGCTGCTCAAAAAGAAGCCAGATTCAGAACGGGGGAAAGGTCCATACTGTATTATTCTACTGTATAATGTTTAGAAATACACAAAAATAATGTTGGAGCTATAGTGGTGAGTGTAAATGCCTTCCAAAAATACACAATAATCTATTGTGTAGAAGTAATGATGGTGGTTATCTGTGGGGAGAGGAGGCTGTGATGTTTGCAGGGGAATCTAGGGATGCTGGTAAGGTTTCATTTCTTGATCTGGGCACTGATTACATGCATGCATGGACTTTGTGGAAAAATCAAGTTATAGACACTCTTAGGATGATGCACTTTGTACTGTATATTTCTAATAGAAGTTACTAAAATAAGAATTCAGTGCAGATATCTAGTTTGTGTTTGCCTACAGTATCTTCCCAGGAACAAAGGAGCGAGTCTAGCTTTAGGAAACCCAGTCAGTGGCCCAACTGCAGCCAGGGTCCAAGGCAGGAACTTTCCCAGGTGAACATCATCAGTAAGTCCACGAATTCCCGAAGTAAAAAAAAGCAGTGCTTTGGAAAGATAATCAAGATCATCGGCTCCTTTCCCACACATTCTTTCCAAAGGCAAAAAGCCAAACTTTCATTCATCAGATTCTGACATGTGTATTCACTTAAAGGAAAAGGGCCACAAAAGGATCTGGGGGAAGAGCCCTAGTCCGTAGTCAGGACTGGGTTTAAATCCCAGCATTATCACTTGCCTGCAGTGTCACCTTGGAAAAATGCCTTCTCCTTTCAGTCGTCGTTTCTGTCATCTCTAGAATGGGAGTTACAACATTTACCTTTCAAAATAGAAAAAAGAGTATTTGGCCCATAGAAGCTCTATTCTGAATAGAAGCTCGTCTTAGTGTTGCTATTGTTGCCGCTGTCAACCTATTTTGCCTACAGCTTTCTGTCCTAGTCTACCATCTTGAAATTAACCACATCAGTCGGGTTAGATAGTGGCTCTTTTGGCCAAGTTTCACTTGTAGCTACGGTAGAGAAGCCTTGTCAGGTAGAAACGGATGATGAGAGTGATGCAGATGTCTCTCCCTAGAGCAGTAGTTCTCAGAAGTGTGACAAGAGGCCAGGTCCCAGTCACTTCTGGGTGTTTCCTGTGGTACACATGGCACCCTCTGGTGGAGAGACACAGCTCCAAGGAACTTCCAGACAATCAAATGTTGTCAGAATACTTGTTTCAGTTATGAATCTAAGCTCAATCTTGAGCATTATAAACAGAAATTTCATTCATTAGTCCTAAAGAATTTTGTGACAATCACAGAAACGGCTCCCATGAGTACTACACCAGGCAGTGAATAAATAAGCCCCATTTCCTACTGCCACGTAGATGAGTTCCATATGTAACTTTGGACCCCCTCTCCCTCCTTGCAAAGCAGGTAACACCCTTTCATTTTCATAGTTAACAACAACAAAGACCTGCCAAGTGATCCAGGAATTCTTTCTTTCCAAAACTGAATCTACTGTAAAGTAGAGGGCAGCAAACAGCGCACCTTTTATGAGCATTTGAGTGAGCAGCTGGGTTCTGAGATCAGTAAATAATTTATTTTATTTCAACTGACTAGCCAGGTGCTTCAGATCTTTCCTGACACTGATGGATGGTCTCCTCCTCTCATCCATCCTGTGTCAGTCAGAGCAGAGATTTCCCTCGCCCCCTGTGGCAAGTTCTTCTAAGTGGTAAGTGTCTGTGTGCGGCATTTCCCCAGCAGCCCTGCTGATTCCACAGAAAACTGCCCATCCACTCTGAGTCCGTGGTACGTAGGAGCATGCGGCAGCACGCAGAATTCCCAAGCTCCGCGGGGCCGTCACAGCTGCTTGTCTCGTGACCGGGCGGTCGTGGCCCGCGCTCCCATTTCACCAGCTGCCATCTGCTTCTGAGAAAGTCAGACGAGGAGGGACTCAAACTTGGATCTGCAAGACCCAGACTTAAACTGATTTTCCACCAGACATTTCTGGGATTGAAAAACTTTATTGGAGTCCATTAGTGAAACTTACGGCAAAGACTTGATCTTTTTAAATAATATTAACATGAAGAATCACAATTTTTGAGAGTAGTTATCTATCAAGTGTATGTTGCTATGTGCCAGGCACTTTGCTGATCACTCTTATTCTTGCCTCCTAGAATCCTATCACTATTATTGGGTAGTACTGATATTATCTCCATTTCTTATATGAGGAAACTAGGATATAGGGAACAATTACTTGTTAACTAATGAAGCTGGGATCGGAACCCAAGACTGCCTAAGCCTGAGTCCTGCACCCAGTTACCGTGTTACGCCTTGAAGGCAGATTGTCGTTGCACTAGCACTCTGTACCTCTGGGACAGTTTGCAGCGCACGGCCAACTTTTACCCCATCACCTTATTTAATCCACACAGAACACTGATGATATTACTCCCATTTCATGACTCAAAAAAACAAGGCTTAGAGGAATAAATGAAGTAATGTGATGTATATGGAGAATTTAGTGTTTACTGGCACACGGCTATTACTTAATAAGCACTAACTTTCTTTCCCTCTCTCCCAGCCGTCAGGATATACGGCAGGATATCCCGTCCCAGTAACAGAACTAGGACTGAAGCCCAGTCCCATACAACAAGCCCAATCCATCAGGCCGTGGATGCCTCAGTCATTAATAACTTGCCTTCACAAAGGAAGTGATTACTTATTGGCCAGTTCCAAAATGCTGCACATCCTCCCTCTTCCCCTGCCCTAGCATCTGGAGGTCAGTGTCCGTGTAGCACGTGTGCTGCTGCGCTAGCGGTCAGTTGAAGTTGGTTCTTAAGTCGAAGTCTATTCACCATCCCTGCCCTGTCAGCCTGGAAAGTTTACCACATAAAACCATCATGCCTGACCATTCCCATTATTTCTCAGAAACATTCTTGGGACTATTTCATCTTGTCTGCTTCCCCTCTGTGTTGGGCCTGAAAGTACAGGTGCCCTTAAGCGTAGACTTTGTTTGAGCTTATACCAAGTTGAGGTCATTTCCATTAACATGATCTCCCGTGTGTCTGATCCCATGTGCCTGACCATAGGGTCAGACGCTAGGACATGTGTGCTGCCCAGAGATGCCAAGGCTGACAGCTTAAAGTGGGTTTGGAGAA